TGCCATCTTGCCTCCCAATGTGACTATTAATAAGTAGTAATTTTGCCCTGCCATTTTCCGAAAGATATTTTCTTTTTTTTTTATCTTTTATTTAATGAATATAAATTTCCAAAGTACGACTCATGGGTTACAATGGCTTCCCCCCCATACCGTCCCTCCCACACACAACCCTCCCCTTTCCCACTCCCTCTCCCCTTCCATTCAGATCAAGATTCATTTTCGATTATCTTAATATACAGAAGATCAGCTTAGTATACCTTAAGTAAGGATTTCAACAGTTTGGCTCCCACACAGAAACATAAAGTGAAAAATAATAGATGAGTTTTTTAAATGATGATGAAATCGGATCAGACCTATTGTCATGTTTAATCCCAGTGAGAGTCAGTTGGGGATGGATAATTTCCTTTTTTTTTTTTTTTACAGAAGATCAGTTTAGTGTACATTAAGTAAGATTTCAATCGTTTGCACCCCCATAGAAACACAAAGTGAAATATACTGTTTGAGTACTCGTTATAGCATTAAGCCTCAGTGTACAGCACATTAAAGACAGAGATCCTACATGAGGAGTAAGTGCACAGTGACTCCTGTTGTTGACTTTACAAATTGACACTCCTGTTTATGGCATCAGTAATCTCCCTATGCACCAGTCATGAGTTTCCAAGGCTATGGAAGCCCCTTGAGTTCTCCGACTCTTATCTTGTTTAGACAAGGTCATAGTCAAAGTGGAGGTTCTCTCCTCCCTTCAGAGAGATATTTTCTAATATATGCTTTGAACTTCTTTTGCTGTGAGGTTTCCTTCCTTTACATTCTTTCATATTGATGACCGTGTTTCTGTGTTTCTGTGTGTAACACATCTTTAAGCATCTTTTGCAGGGCTGGACAAGTGGCGAAAAATTCTTTCAATTTCTGTTTGCAATAAGAGGTCTTTATTTCACCTTCATTCACAAATGAGAGCTTTGCAGGATGTAATATTCTGGGCTGTCAGTTTTTCTCTCTTAGTACCTGGCTATATCTCGCCATTCCCTCCTAGCCTGTAGGGTTTCTGATGAGAAGTCTGCTGTGAGTCTGATTGGAGATCCTCTGAGAGTAATCTGACGTTTCTCTCTTGCACATTTTAGGATCTTTTCTTTATGCTTCACTGTGGTGAGTTTAATTACAACATGTCGTGGTGAGGATCTCTTTTGGTTGTGTTTATTAGGGGTTCTGTGAGCTTCCTGTACTAGGATTTCTCTGTCCTTCTCCAAACCTGGGAAGTTTTCTGCTAATATCTCACTAAAAAGGCTCTCTAATCCTTTCTCTCTCTCCATGCCTTCAGCAACTCCTAGAACCTGAATGTTGTATTTTTAAATAGTATCCTGTAGACTCCCAACAATATTTTTTAGATTTCTAATTTCTTCTTCTTTTCTTTGGTTTGACTGTATACTTTCCGTGCTCTGTCTTCTAAGTCCAATATTCTCTCTTCTGCCTCACTGATTTTGTGTTTAAGTCTTTCAAATGTGTTTTTTTGTTATATTGAATTCTTCATTTTATTTTGATTTCTCTTCAATATCTCAATTTCATGTTCTACTAAATTCCTCATTTCATTTTGATTCTTCCTTAAGATTTCATTTGCATGAGAGAGATTTTCTGTCCTGCACTGTATGGATTTCTGTAGTTCATGCATTTGTGTCTGATAACTTCTAAATGTTCTTATAAATTTTCTGAATTCCATATCTTGCATTTCTTCTATCTCATCATCTTCATAATCTTTTTTTTAAAATTTTTTTATTTATTTTTTGTACAGGCAGAGTGGACAGTGAGAGAGAGAGAGAGACAGAGAGAAAGGTCTTCCTTTGCCGTTGGTTCACCCTGCAATGGCCACCGTGGCCAGCACGCTGTGGCCGGCACACCGCGCTGATCCGATGGCAAGAGTCAGGTACTTATGCTGGTCTCCCATGGGGTGCAGGGCCTAAGCACTTGGGCCATCCTCTACTGCACTCCCTGGCCACAGCAGAGAGCTGGCCTGGAAGAGGGGCAACCGGGACAGAATCCGGAGCCCCAACCGGGATTAGAACCCGGTGTGCCGGCGCCACAAGACGGGGGATTAGCCTAGTGAGCCGGGGCGCCGGCCCATCTTCATAATCTTGAATTGGAGTATCTGGTTCTTTCGGGAGAGTCATGATGTCTTCCTTGTTCTTGGGTCCTAGGTTTCTGTGTTTTTTGTTTGGCATTGTGGAGATATTCTTTGGTTTCTTCTTCTTTTTTTTTTTCTTGCTGTGGTGGCTTTTCTCATTATACTATGACTCTAGCTTAAGTGGACTGTCTGCTTTTGATGAATCTTTAAAGGCTTGTGGTGGGTGTGGCCAGAGAGCTCTGTTCAGTTCTTCAGGGTTAAGGGTGTGCCAAAGGGGACACACCCAGGTTTAGCCTGGTAAATCTTCTCTCTTTCTCTTTTTTTTTATTCATAAGGGAAGTAATTCTGCTCAGCTGAGCTCTTCTCCTTGATGGCAATCAGTGCCTGAGCATTAGCCCAAGTGGGTATTATATTTGTTTGCTCTGTCCCAAGGACCACACAAGGATCTCTGCAGTCCTCAGTGTAAACTCAGATTCCTCTGCAATGTCTCTCACCAGGTGGCCAAAGCCTGAGTCTGTGGCATCTCAGGCTTTGTGGCATTGCCACACTGTGAGTTTTCCCACAAACCCTCAGTTTTTTCCCCCACATTCCCAGAATAAGAGGGAGGAGATATACAGTTTGGGACACATTCCCTTGGACTTACCCCTAAGGGTAAAACTAAAAATTTGCCATGGAATTCCAAATCCCATTAAGTTGGCATGTACTAATGCCATCTTACTAGTTAAAGTGATCAGTTTAAGTTTATAAAGACAGGATTAAGTGTCAAAGATCACATAAATAAGACCAAGTGTGTGCTAATAATAAGGGAAGTTATGGAGGGGAAAGCCGCTATAATCCAAAAGTTGTACTTTGGAAATTTATATTTATTAAATAAAAGTTAAAAAAATAAAAATAAGAAAAATTGATAGAATTAAAAAGAAGGCTAGTGCCATGGCTCACTTTGCTAATCCTCCACCTGTGGTGCCAGCATCCGGGTTCTAGTCCCAGTTTGGGTGCTGGGTACTAATCCTGGTTACTCCTCTTCCAGTCCAGCTCTCTGCTGTGGCCCGGGAGGTGAGCACAGGGTGGCCCAAGTGCTTGGGTGTTCCTGCACCCGCATGGGTGACCGTGAGAAAGTACCCAGCTCCTGACTTCAGATCGGCACAGTGCTGGTGGTAGCAGCCATTAGGGGAGTGAACCAATGGAAGGAAGACTTTTCTCTCTGTCTTTCTCTCTCATTGTCAATAACTCTCTCTCTCTCTCTCTCTCTCAATGTATAACTCTGACTGCCCCCCCCCCAAAAAAAAGAATTAAAAAGGAGAGAACAATCTAACATGGGAAACAGGGCACAGAACAAACTCATAGAATGCCAAATGCCCTAAACAGCACTATGGCCTCAGAATCAGCTCTTAAGGCATTGGATCTGGCTAAAATCCCATGAGAGTATTTCAGGCATGAAAAGCCAAGACACTGTGGCAAAAAATAACCTACATGAAAGATCTCTATAAATTAGATCCCAGTGGAAAGAATGGGCTGTCAAAGAAGGAGGTGCCTTTCTCTGAAGGGAAGAGAGAATTTCCACTTTGATTATGGCCTTGTCTAAATAATGTCTGAGTTTGTGGACTCAAGAGGCTTCCATAGCCTTGGCAGCTCATGACAAGAGCCTCAGGAGATCATTGACATCATAAATAAGAGTGTCAAATGTTAAATCAACAACAGGAGTCACTGTACACTTGCTCCCCATATAGGACTTCTGACCTTAATATGTTTTACTATGAGACTTAATGGTAAAACTAGTTTTCAAACAGTACTTTCTTCTTTGTGTGTGTGTGGGGTGTGAACTCTTGAAATCTTTACTTAGTATAGAGTTGATCTTCTGTATACAAAGATAATTAAAATGATTCTTAATGAAGAATGAGATGGGAGAGGGAATAGGAAGTGGGATTGCTTGGAGGTGGGAAGGTGGGTATAGGGAGAAAAACCACTATAATACAACAGTTGTACTTATGAAATTTATATTTATTAAATAAAACCTTTCTATGAAAAAAAGAAAAGCATGACCATTGTCATTAAACAACTATAACATACGAACTATAGATACTGTGTTTTTCCTCTAATTTATCATTTCTGATCAAAGCCTTGAGTAACTGACAATTATAATATTAATTTTACCATTAAATCATCCCACCATTCTCCCTGTGCCATGCTCAAGTCACACTTTTTTAAAAGTATCATGTCACAGAAAGCATCAGTACTGTCACTCACAGTGGTACTAAGATGATGCCTAAAGGTGACCACCACCTGCCCTCTTACTACACAACTGACACACTTACTCATATGTGCATTCGGACAGCGTCACAGCCACAAGCGGACTTCTTCCACCGCTGATTAGATTTCCCCGATATTAAACAAATTTTTGTATGGTAGGGAAAAAATCTTAACTCTTCAGTTCTGTACTTCACAGTTCACAATACTTCTTTACTTGAGGCAATTCAACTTCAGTCCTTTGCTTATAAAACCAACCTGGCAAACAAGTGAAGTCAACAATGACTTCACTTCAACCAGAGGCAAGAAAGGGAGAACTAGAATTGTAAATATTATATATATATGTTTATAATTATGTAACTATTCTTTTTATATACAGATTTTCAACATTAAAAAGAACAGCATTGAGACTCTTCAACGAGTTACAGATTGAAGGACAGTCAGACGTCAATGTGTGAGTGTGTGTGTTTGTGTGTGTGTTGGTATTCACCATTCAGTATCATACCCTGGTCAGCTATCCTTGAATGAATTAATATTCTTAATACCAGGAATTTTGTTCTCTACCTCCTTATAATTACCACAAATATATACAGGAATCCATAGCTTGTCAGCTTTGAGATTCCACCAGCATGAAATAGATTCGTGTATTGAAGGATCTTCATTAAAGTCATTTATCTTAATGATTCACAACAAATGAAAACAGATGATGGACGATATATTTATCTGAATAAAATGAAGATGTTTAGAGTTTCCAGAAATGATTAACAGGTTATCCCTTAATTTAAAATAAACAATCAAACATGAAAAAAGTAACACATACAAAATTGGCAAGTGTGTAGAAGACTGGGCACCTTGAGGAAATTCTGGACTCAACTGGGGAAAAGCTGCACCCTCCACTGAGGAGCTGTGGTTCTACTTCCCCCTGCACAGGGCACCCCTGAGAGCCTGGTGCACCTGCTTGTTGCGCAGGGTGTAGATGACAGGGTTCAGCACTGGGGTCAGCACCGTGTTCACCAGAGCAGCCTGTCTGTTGAAGTCCACCCTGCTTGTCTGCTTTGGCTTCACATAGATGAAAAGACAGCTGCCGTACATGAGAGAGAGGACGATGAGGTGAGACGAGCAGGTGGAGAAAGCTTTCTGTCGCTCCTTGGCTGACGGGAGCCTCACGATGGTGACTACGATGTGGCTGTATGCGATGACAGTGAAAAGGATGGGTATAAAAATAGCCAAAAATGCAACATTGAAGAACAGCATTTCAGTAGATCTACTGTCAGAACAGGAGAGCTTAGCCAAGGGCCCAAAATCACAGAAGAAGTGGGGGATGACATTGGGGCCACAGAAGGACAACTGGGAAAGATGGACAACTGGAGCCACTGCTAAGACAAATCCCAAAGTGAAGCAGGCAGTGACCAGGAGGGAGCACACCCTGGGGCTCATGATGCTGGAGTAACGCAGAGGTCTGCAAATGGCCAGGTACCGATCCAGAGACAACACTCCCATAAGGAAGAAAGTTGTTGACCCCAGGAAAAAAAAGAAAAAAGCTTGCGTGAAGCAGGCAGCAAAGGAAATGGCTTGCCTCCCTGACAGGAAGATGGCCAGCAGTTTAGGAATCACCGTGGTTATGAAGCAGCATTCCACAAAGGAGAAAGTGCCGAGGAAGAAGTACATGGGTGTGTGGAGGCGATGGTCAGCCCAGGTGATGGTGATGATGAGCGTGTTTCCCATGATGGAGGCCAGGTACGCCAGCAGGTGCACCAGGAATAAGATTTTCCCCAGGTGTTGGACAGTGGGGAAGCCCTCCAGGATGAACTCCTGGACTGCAGACCTGTTCCCTGTATCCCACATCACCACTTCTCAATTCCTTCTTCAGCTCTCACTGAGCCATCTGCTGTGTCACAACTGTATAACAGAAAACTACATTTTATTAATCAAATGACGGAGGGTTCAACTGGACTTTTTTTCCAAATATACTTATTTTATTAAATTATTTACTTGTTTATTTATTTTTGATTAATAGTTGTTAAAAGATTCAATATCATTCATGGATGCAATTCTAGGATTATAAAAATATTCCCTTTTCCTCTCCATCACTTCTATCCCCTTCCTTCCTTCCTCCCCTCCTCCCTTCCTTCTTTTCTTTTCTTTCTTTCTTTCTTTCTTTCTTTCTTTCTTTCTTTCTTTCTTTCTTTCTTTCTTTCTTTCTTTCTTTCTTTCTTCCTTCCTTCCTTCCTTCCTTCCTTCCTTCCTTCCTTCCTTCCTTCCTTCCTTCCTTCCTTCCTCTCATTTTTGAGATTATGTGTTTTAATTTACAATATACTCAGCAGCTTATACTCCACCAAATAATGCGTTCAACAAGTAAAAAGCAAAGAGACCCTAGTTCAGCAGGAAAAGAGGGAAGGGCTATAAACAGTAATTGAAAGGAAAGACAAACAATGCACCTATATCCAATAAATGTTAACTTACTCACAGATCATTAAAACTTTAGTAGTATAACATGGTTAACCACTTTCTGACAAAAGCATGAAACAAAGATTGGCAAAACTGTATTAACATCAATATTGATACAAACTGGAATTTTTTTTCTTTTTTGATTTTTTTCCTTTTAATTTTACCTCTACATATGAGGGAGAACATTCAGTATTTGTTTTTATGTGCCTGCGTTATTTAAGTCAACTTGATATCCTCCAGTTGCATCCATTTTGCTGAATTGGTAGAATTTCATTCTTTTTATAGAGGAATAATATCCCATTGTGTATATATGCCCCAACAGTGGGAGAGGTGTTATCCATTGATCACCCAACTCCCAGATGTCTGTAGAGCCTGGAACTGGCCCAGTCCAGAGATATGAACTCATTCAGGTCTTCCACGATGACAGGGACACAATTACTTGAGCCTTCACCTACTGTGTCCTAAGGTGCACCCTAGCAGAGAGCTAGAATTCACAGTGTAGCCAGGACTTGAAGTATGAACCCATTTATGGGAACTTGGCATTCCAACTCACATCTTAACCATTAAGCCAAATGCTCAACCTGTAGTAATTTTTCAGTCAATTCTCTGATAGAGCTTTCATTGTCTTTTTTATTTTTAGTTCTATTTATTTTTGAGGTAGAATTATAGAGAGAGGGAGACAGAGATGTGTTTCATCCACTGATTCACTCTCCAAATGGCCACAATGGACAGAGCTGGGTCAATCCAAAGCCAGGAGTAAGGACCTTCTTCCACATCTCCCATGTTAGTGCAGGGGCCCGAGCACTTGGGCCATCTTCTACTGCTTTCCCAAGCCAAAGAAGAGAGCTGGGATGGAAGAGGAGCACTCAGGACACATATGGGATCCATATAGGATGCTGGTGCAGCAGGCAGAGGCTTAGCATTCTATGCCACAATGCTGGCCCCAACACTTCATTTTTTAAAACCTTGTATTTTATATAGCTTCTGCTCATTGTTAAATAGGTTATTTTATCTATGAGTATAATACATGTAAGCTAAAAGCCTAGATGATTTAGAACTGTGTTTGTAATTCATAATCTTAATAAAGAATGATGTGGGAGCCAGCACTGTTGCACAACAGACAAACCTCCAGTTATGTTACTGGCACCACACGTCAGAGTGCTATTCAAGGCCCAGCTACTCCCCTTCAAATCCACCTTTCTGTTAATGCCTAGGGAAGCAGATAATAATAAAGCAGTTTCTGAGGAACCCGGCCAGCATGTGGGAGACCTGGATGGAGTTCTGTCTCCATTTCACCCTAATTGACCTTGGCTATTGAAGCCATTTTGGCAGTGAACAAGCAGAAGAATGATAGAGCTCTCCCTGTCTTCTATCTCTCTGTCTCTTTCTCTGAGTGTATGTGTGTGCACTCTTGTCTCTCTCTCTTTTGCCCTGCCTTTCAAATAAATACTTATGTTTAATTAAATGATAATTTTAATAACATTGATAATTTTTCGATATAGTGTACTGAAAAACTGAAAAAAATGACTTATTTGTCAATGTGTCTTGTCATGCCACTTATTCCTGGTAAGAAAACAATCAATTGGAAAGACACGATGAATACTGCAAAACAAAAATTGTACCCTAAAAATATGATGGCCATGGAATTCTGTATTCCCACATACATACAAGAAACTCTCATGTTTAGAGTTAGTTTCAAAAGTTTAGGATGTAATATCATGAAGACAAACATCTGTGGCCAAACAGCAGCTGGTTGAAATGAGTTACATTAGTAAAGTCACAGACCCACACTACAGCGAATGTTGAAACTCAGCCCAGACTTCACTGATCTAAGACTGGCATCAGTCAGTGATATAGGTGGCTTTTCCCAAACCCCATGCCAAGTGATCATCCAGGAAGAATCTGTATCTTCCAAACTTCCCAGTCCCTAAAACATAGAAAAGGCAATAGTGTGACTTGGCTTGACTCCAACAATCCATTTCTGATTTCTTATCCCTCCTGCTGTCTACCTATGTAGAATCAATATTCTCTTTTACCTTTAAATCCACAGACTTCTCTTGGGAGAGTCTTTGTCACATTGGTCAACTCTCGCATCTCTGAACTGTTCTCTAATTTCATCAAAATCAAGAGCCCCAGGCCTTTTACTGTATGAGATCTGCCCAAGAGGAGCAAACTCTGCTTTGGTTTACAAAAAATAAATGATGAGTTGACCCACTCACAGTAAGCCCACATACTCACCCACATGTAGCCACGGGTCACCAAAGATCTGACTTCAACTCTTCACTCTTCTGCAAATCAAGATGCTGTGCTAGGTAGTTGGAAATGTAAGAAAAGAAACACTTGAGCCTCAGATGTGCCCAGTCTGTCCCAGAGAAAATTCAACATGCGCATCCTGTCTGCTAATCATTCAGAGCTTTCCAAACTAGGGGAAACCAAAATGATAATTCAGTGGCAAATGTGCAATTGGGATAAGGGGAGGGAGCAGATCCTTTTTCTGTCTTCCAGAAAGAGCCTGTGAGTCCACTGGCTCTCCCTAAGGGATCTCACAGCCTCCTTGAAGGTCGCTTGTCTCAGAGTTCCTAAAACTGCTCCTGTCCTGAATCTACCAGCCCAAGCAAAGACCCTACTTCATGGGGAAAAATACCTGGCAGCAGGGACATGGGAAATAGAGTCCTCATTTACCCCAGTGCCTTCAACATCGACCGTGTGTCTCTAAAATGCATTTCAGGACTCTAGGCTATCCACTCTTCCCCTGTGCACACTCTGGTGGATATCATGATGTTGACAGCAGAAGTCAAAGTTACATGGATTCATACCATCCTTTGTTTTGCATTGGACTATCTCTTGACACCAATCAAGAACCACCAGGCCGATTGGATGCAGGATCTTTAGAAAATGGAACAAAACCATCTAGAGACCAATTTCCCTCTAGAATCCCTGGTGGCTGTTAATTAGCTCTGTTGGAAATAGAGAAGTGTTTCACAAACATCATAGTTGCCTCTCCATGTTATTGCAAATATAGTAATGTCGGCTCATTCTGAGTTATCCCTCATGGAAATCTTTGGGTAGAGTGCCTGAAGTATGTTATTTTACTAAGCTGGTGCTGGGGAGGTCCTATAGGAAACACAGACACTCTCCCAGCAACAATGAGATGGAACTCCCCCTAACTCTGCAACAGCAGTGCCAAATCAGATAAAATCCATTTTTCCATTCAATAATTGTTTATAGCCTTTGTTCCCACTAAACTAAGGTCTTTTTGCCTTTTACTTGTTAAACTTCTTATTCAACGAAATATTAAGCCTTTTTACTGCGAAGTAAATTTGATATATGTTATGTCAAAAACAAAAAAAATAGGTTTGAGACGGTGGAAGGAAGAGAAGGAAGAAGGGAGAAAGGGAGTATCTTTGTGCTCTTTGACTTATATCTAGAAGTCATACTGAATCTATTAAAATGGAAATTTAAAGATTAATAAGGAAACAAACATCAATAACCAAAATATATGTCTGGGATTCATTGAAAATCACTTCCTATATCAAAACTAAAAAGTCTCAATTTGAATTTAAAAAGTCATTCAACAGATGTTAACATCAGGGTGTAGAGATTTGAATGACACTGCCAACAGTTTAAAGGAGGCATCACGAAAATGCTTCAACCAGCATTACTAAAGAGCTTAAAGTAAGTTTTGAAAAATAGAAAATATAACAAAAATATAGAAAGTTTAACTCAAGAAACTGGAGACAATAAAAAGTGTCAAACAAAAATTCTGGAGTTGAAAAGTACCATGACTGAAGATTTAAGAACTCAGTGATGAGCTCAACAACAGAAGGATGGTGCAGAGGAAAACATTAGTGAACTGTAATATAGGACAAAATGAATCACCAGCTCATCAGAAGAAAGAAAGCAGAATGATAAAGAGAAGAACCTTGTGGATCTATAGACAGGGGAACAGATCACTCGTTTCTCTGGAGTCCTGTGTACAGCAGAAAGAGGGGACAGTGGTTGCCACATTTGGCAAAAAGCACACCCTATAGACTCAAGGAGAAAGATGAATTCCAAATAGGATAAACTCAGTAAATCCACACCCAGGCACAGTGTAGGCAAACTTCTGGTAAAGGGAGACAAAGATAAAGATGGGAAAGCAGAAATAGAGAAACAATATAGTACCCAGGAGGAAAAACAACTAAATGAGAGTGCATTTCTCCTCAGAGAGCATAGGAAGAAATGATACAATATCTTTCAAGTGCTTAAAAAACATTGTGAGTATACAAAACTCTAAATATCATAGAAATAAAGAGAAAATAAAATCATCTAAGATGAAGGAAGACCAAGAATTTATCACAAGAATATTCTTCCTGAAAGAAGGTTCAAATGAAGCTCTATGAACAGAAAGCAAATGATCTTTAGAGGAATTGCTGAGTATTGTGCTAGCAGATACACTGAATGGTGTTTTAGATTAATCAAGCTGGGAGTCTTAAAGAAACAAGTTAATAAAACCACATTGTGAAGGCAGGAAAAACAAAACAGGAAAATGCAAGCAAAAAAACAGAAAACAAAAAAAAAATGTGATGGTATTTAAGCCATAAAACATCAAACCATGTGATTACATTAACTGTGAATGGTCTACAGATACCAATTAAAACAAGTTGAATAAATGGATTAAGAAATGTAGAACAACTATGTGATGTCTACTGAAATGCAGGATATGAAAATATAGGCAGCTTGAAATTATTGCATGAAAAATATCAAGATAGAAATATATATAGCTCTAAGAGGCAACATGAAGGATATTTCTGGTTTTGTGAATTTACTTTTACTTCATGTTGTCACATTAATGTGGTGTTAAGACAAAGAGGACAGATTCAAGGTCGTTCATAGATACAATTCCTCCACCCTTCTTCTTGCCCCCTTTATTTCTCTCTTCCTTCCCTCCTTTTTTTCTTTTTTTTTTGAGATAACGTATTTTTGTTTATATTACAGTCAAGGCCTTAGTGCTCCATGAGATAGTTCAACAAGTAAACAGACTCCAGTTCAGTGGGAATGTAGGCAAGGACTTCTAAGTAATGACTGGAAAGATGACCATTTCCCCCATATGCAATACATGCTGACATAATCAGAGATCATAGTACACTATATAGAGTAGTATAACATCCTTAACCATTGGTTTGATAAATGTGTAAAACAAAGTTTGACAAAGCTGTATTTGCAGCAATACTGAGACACACAGGCATTTGCTTCTTTTCTTCTTTGTTTTGTTTTATTTTTATACTCTTTTTAAATTTAACTTTCACATATAAACAAGAGCTTATTGGATTTTGTCTTTGGCTTATTTCACTTTACATGATGTCCTCCAGTTGTATCCATGGTGATACAAAAGGGAGAACTCCATTATCTTTATAGATATCTATATATCTATATCTATATCTATATACCTATATAGATATAGCTATGTCCCTTCTGTCTGCCCTTTAAGAGGTGTGCCTGATACATCTATAAAGATATCTATCTATATATATATAGATACATATATCTATATAAAGATACATCTATAAAGATATATAAATTCAGGACCAAGTCCTTTCCTCCCAGTCGACAAGACCCTGCCCAGCACAACCAGCATCCAGAGCCAAGGAGGGCCGGCGCCGCGGCTCACTAGGCTAATCCTCCGCCTTGTGGCGCCGGCACACCGGGTTCTAGTCCCAGTCGGGGTGCTGGATTCTGTCCCGGTTGCCCCTCTTCCAGGCCAGCTCTCTGCTGTGGCCCGGGAGTGCAGTGGAGGATGGCCCAAGTCCTTGGGCTCTGCACCCCATGGGAGACCAGGAGAAGCACCTGGCTCCTGCCATTGGATCAGCGCAGTGTGCCAGCCATTGGAGGGTGAACCAACGGCAAAGGAAGACCTTTCTTTCTGTCCCTCTCTCTCACTGTCCACTCTGCCTGTCAAAAAAATAAAAAATAAATAAAAGTATCTCAGAGCCAAGGAGAAGGGGGATTCAATCCCATCATCCTTCAGCGAGAATCCTTGTGCACTGCACGACTTCCCCACAAGCAGTGGGTCCAGACAGAAAAGGACGTGAAGAGGTGTGAGCTCCAAGGGCACGACTCGCCCGGACGCCACCGTGACTGTGCATGAGGGGTGAGAGAAGGGCAGGGCCGTCATGTCAGACCGAGCTGGACGTTGCCGATGAACAGAAAGTGACGTGTAGGAGAAGACCTGTAACACGGAGCTGTGTCAGAGTCCCGGGTCCCTTTATCCCCGCTGTGTTCCGCGTTTCCATCTAGCATCATTTGTCCTCCACCTAAAGATACGCCTTTGCTGCTCCTTTGAGCACAGTTGTTGATGACAGTTTTTTGGTGTCTGGAAATATCTTGATTTTTATCTACGTTTCTGAGGGATAGACAAGTGTTGCTCAGTACATTATCCTAAGTTGACAGTTACTTTCAGCACTTTAGAGACCATTGTAGCGTCATTTATATTTCTTCTTTTCTATCCAGAACTAAATGTCAAGTTGTTTGTTCTTTGAAGTTAATTTTCTCTTGTTGCTCTTGACATTTTCTGGTCACCTTTGCATTTCTGAGGTTTCATCATGATATATTTAGGTGTATTTTTGTTTGTTTTTCACCTACTTGTCATTCACAGAACTTCTTTTCTTTATTTGAGATACAGAGAGAGCAAGAGAGCTCCCATCTGCTCGTCTACTGCCCAGATGCCCACCAGAACTCACTGCAAGTTCCCATGTGGGTGGCAGACCCCCAACCACCTGAGTCATCACCACTGCCTCCTGGGGTCCAGGCAGGAAGCAGGAGCCAGGAGCTGGAGCGGGGCGGGAGCCCTGACATGGGACCTGCCCTCCTCCCTGGAGTCTTACCTGACAGGCCAGATGCCCTATCCTCACAGAGCTCCCTCAGTCTACAGGTTCATGTCTTCATCAGACTGGATACTTTTTTTTCACTTTTTTTTCAAATATTTCTTCTTCCCTGTTTTATTTCTTCTGTTTTGTTTGTTTCCATGTCTCTAATTACATGTTTTGTTCACTGTGAACTTCATATTTCTTATACTCTTTGATTTTCTTCTGGGCTTCAGTTTGAATATTTTCTGTTGCTGTGCCTTCTAATCTCCAAGTTTTTCTCCTACTGTGTCTAATCTGGTTGTTAAATATATTGCTTTCAGTTATGAATTTTGAATATTGTGTATTTATGTCTTAAAGTAGCAACTAGATTATCTATTAAATCAAAATTATCTTGTGAAAATCCTTCATTGTCTTCTCTATACCCTGGGCATGTTAATCCTTTTAAGTAGCCTACTGTTTAAAGATTTATTTGTTTACTTTATAGACAGAGGTAGAGAGACAGAGAGGGGAGAGAAACAGAGAGCGAGAGAACAAGAGAGAGAGAGAGATAGAGAGAGATCTGCCATGTGCTAACTTACTTCCCAAATGGCCACAACAGCCAGGGCTGGACCAGACTGAAGTCAGGAGCCAGGAAATCCATCCAGATCTCCCAAACTGGGGGCAGGAACATAAGCACTTGGGCCACCATCCGCTGACTTCCCAGGGGCATTAGCAGGGAACTGGATTGGAAGTGAAGCAGCGGGAACTCGGAGCAGCATTCTGGGATGGGATACCAGCATCACAGGCAGAGACTTGAACAGCAACAGCAGCGCCTAATTAGCCCATCTTAGAACCTTTGTCTGCCCACTCCAGGAGCTGTTTCCCCTCTGGGTCTTTTTAATTTATTATGCTCTCTCCCAAGGTTATTGATTGCTTCATCCTCAGAAGTGTTGATTGAGTGACACACATTGTGTATAAAATAATAAAACCTACTTTTCTTACGTAGGACGCTGGGTGTTGGATGCCTCCTTTATTCTGACCAGGCACTGGCCTGAGTAAAATATACTTACAGGTTT